AACTTCAGGGCAAGGGGTGCCCACGCAATTGCTGCTGTACTGGTATTGCCACCACCACACTCTTAGTCCTTAAAACAACCCCAGTTCTGAAGGTCAGCGGTCCAACTGGGGTCTTGCTGGGCTAAAATTCAGGTGAGGCAGAGCTGAGTTCTCTCTGTGTGCTCAATGGGAGAATCGATCCCATGGACTTTTCCAGCTCTGGGAGCTGCCTGCATCTCTTGGCTTGTGGTCCTTTCCACCACCGGCAGTGCCAGCACACTGCATGTACCTGATCTTTCTTGTATTGTGGAGTCTTTCTGACCATAGCTGGGGAATGTCCTCCCATTTTAAGAATTTAAGTGATTAGGTTGGGCCCACCTTGGTAATCCAGGATAACTTCTCCATTTCAGAATCTGTTCTTGTTTGTTTTCCTTTTTTTTTTTGGTTCTGGGGATTGAACTCAGGGGCACTCAACCACTGAGCCACATCTCCAGCCCTATTTTGTATTTTATTTAGAGACAGGGTCTCACTGAGTGGTTTAGTGCCTTGTCATTGCTGAGGCTGGCTTTGAACTCGAGATGCTCCTGACTCAGCCTCCCAAGCTGCTGGAATCACAGGCATGTGCCACCACGCCCAGCCCTGTTTTCCATAGTCTTTAATTGATGCATTATAGTTGTACATAATGGTGAGATCAAAATCCACGCTCTTGATCACCACGCAAAGCCTATTTTTCCAGGTAAGGTGATGTATACATTGCTATAACTCCAGGGAGTAGAATGTGGACATCTTTGGGATCATTGTTCTGCCTACAGAATCTTTTCTTCTCATTGATCTCTCTTGTAAAAAGACAAAATTACAACAAACTTAGTGATAGGTCTAATTGGCTTTTGTGGTGATTCGTGAATTGGGGCAGCCTCCATCCTAGGAAGTGGAGTAGGGCTCCCACCCAGCAGGAGCAGAACAGCAGGTTTTGTAAGGTGGGGTCGAGGAAACAGAGTGGCAGAAAAAGAACTGGTGAACAAGGTGTTAGGTTGGAGGTGGCGACTTAGTGACAACTTAGTGACAACTTTTCCTTCCGGCGCGCAGCCCGCGCCGGAAAGAAAAGAACATCAATCAGATGCCGGCGGAAAGCCTGTCAATCAGCCAGATCTCCTGACTAACGCCTGTCAATCAACAGGACCCCCCTGGCCAATCCTGGAGTTCAGCCAACTCCCCTGACCAACTTCAAGGGGGCAAGGGACCCTAGAAACACCTTTTCCTGTCCCAAGCCCTTCCCTTCCTGCTGTAAGCCCCATAAAAGTCCAGTCCCGTCAAGCTTCCACGCGGTTTCTCCTCAGACCCTTCCCCTGTCCCCTCTGTGGGTCTGATCGAGTTCTGCCCGGGAGTGATATCTCAATAAAGCCTCCCCCATCTGATCTGACACAAGGTTCTTCCAGGTGACGTTTTTATAAAGGGTAAAGCAAGGAGACTTTATCTTCATGCCAGTTGAAAATAGTCTATTTGGGAATTTGGCTGTTATCTCTCTAATTCTGATTTCTCGGAAGGTAGACAAACAGCTTAATTTCGGTTTGGTGACATGGAACTCTGGGATGAATGACTCGGCTTTGGTTTTTAGTCTAGTCTGTTGGGGCCCAGTATAGGAGCCTATCCCAAAACAATGACCTTCCTCATATTTTAGGGAGGAGGGGAATAAGATTGAGCAAGGCTAATTCTCATTTTAAGTAAATTCAGTTATGGAATAGCTCAATCAATGCACTTCAGAAATCTTGCCATAGAGTTCTCAAATTTGGATATTAAGACAGTTTTATTTTTTTCTTACATGCTATATTATAATGAATGATGAAGGGAAAAATCATTTCCTACAAAGTTAATTGTTTACACATTCAACAGAATAATTCATTTCTTTTTTGGGGGGAGGTACCAGGGATTGAACTCAGGGGCACTAGATCACTGAGCCACATCCCAGCCCTTATTTTGTATTTTATTTAAAGAAAAAGTCTCACTGAGTTGCTTAGTGCCTCACTTTTGCTGAGGCTAGCTTGGAACTCGCCATCCTCCTGTCTCAGCCTCCTGAGCTGCTGGGATTACAGTACACGCCACTGGGCCGGGCTTCCAGAATAATTCATTTCTTGTTAACCCTGAACAATTAATTTATAATTTCAGGCAAGTCTCTGTAGCATTCATTTTATTATTATTATCATAAACATTATTATTTTTATTGTTTATTTTTATTCATTTATTTTATGTGGTGCTGAGGTTTGAACCTAAGGCCTTACATGTGCTAGGCAAGTGCTCTACCACTGAGCCACAACCCAGCCTCTGTAGCATTCATTTTATTGTACAGTAGAAACAATAAAACATTGTTACATTTAACAAACAAAACCATGGAATTCTTTTTGCATTTATTTATATATTTAGGGCTCAGACTTGAACTCGGGGCCTTATGCACACGTTCCAGTTTTGCTCAACACTCTAAAAAAGTGGATTTTATATCTTTTATGGAAAACATTTTCATCATAATAGGAAATACGGCTAAACCAGAATTTTTTCAAAGATCTCAAATCTTTTTGTTTTTATATATCTTATCTAATTCTATTTTATTTTATTTATTTTTTTAAAAATATTTATTTATTTATTTTTAGTTTTCAGTGGACACAACATCTTTGTATGTGGTGCTGAGGATCGAACCCGGGCCGCACGCATGCCAGGCGAGCACACTACCGCTTGAGCCACATCCCCAGCCCCTCTAATTCTATTTTATATTCTGAATATTTGTATACAGAAAAATGCAAAGACACCTCCAAGTCACAACTTGCTTAATTCCCACAAACCAAACACATCCATGTGAGCAGCACAAAGATGAACAAATGGTTGTGTGGAGCCCTGAGTCCTGTCCCCACCCTCTTCCAGTCCAAGATATTACTTTACATTTGCTGATGTTAGAAAATTCCCTGCATGGCAACGCCAGGAGTATTACTGACCTAAGAAAGGGGGAGTCCAAGCGAAGTTCATTTGTTCTTTCAACAAATCTTTTCTGGCACCCATGCTGGGCTTGCCAGGGAAAACGGGATGAGGGATCAGTTGCTGGTCCTTTGGCTCAGACTCGAGGGAGGCAGGCTTGAGGGGTGGGGTGGGACTCCTGTGCAGTCCCTGAAAACAATGCTTTGGCCAAGCCACCCAGAGGGCCTCCAGGGAAGAATCTGCTGCAGGCAGTTAGAGTCCCAAGAATACAGGTGGGGACGGGCCTGGGCAGAGGGATAGCAGTGGGAAGGCCCGTGAGCTGTGCAGCTGGGAGGCAGAGGGAAAGCCCATTGCACTGCCAGCCTCTGTGTTGTCCGCTGCCACTAGTGCAGACCCAGTGCTCAGGCGGGGCTGCAGATGCAGAACTGGAGGCCCCAACCCCCACAGAGTCCCCATGTTACAGATGGGGACGCAGGCCCAGTGAGAAGGGAGGTACAACCCCCAGTCACTTCATCCATTCCCTCCTGCACACCCTTTTTCAGAGCTCCTGCCTCCTGTGCCTGGCACTGAGGACAGGAGAGTCAGGCAGGGCCCTGCTCTGTGGAGCTGAGGAGAGTGCCTGGGCGCCATGGTATGACCTAATTTAACTGTAATTACCTTCTGATATGCGTATCTTCAAATGCTGTCCTATGGGGGTTAGGGCTTCGATATATGAATCTCAGGCGAAGTCCTAGGCCCTGGGATACAGCCATGCAGAAAACAGACCTTCCCCCGTGGGAGAAGTCAGGCCGTCGGCAGAACGTCTGCTTGGATGTGATGTGCGGAGGAGGTAAGGGTGCTGTGCGGCAGAAAAATAAGCAGATCAAGGGGACAGGGAGGGGAGAAGGCGTTTGGGGAAAGGTAGTCAAGGAAGGCTCATGGAAGAGGTGCCACCTGGGTCCCAAGGGAAAGGAGCAAAAAAGTTTTAGGAGGATGAGGAGAAGAGTACCCCAGGCACAGTGCGCCAGGCGGGCAGTGGTGGGAGTGGGAGAGGGAGCCTGCCGGCTGGTGGGACTGCAGGGGGTGACAGTGAGATTTAGCTGGCCAGGGCTGGCTCCACCTCCCCCTGTCCTGGGACCGGACCACCAGGCCGAAGTTTGGGGAAAGCCTGTAGCCGCTGCTTCCCTGGGTCTTCCTCTCTCAGCCCATGGGCCTGCAAGACCACTAGCCCCGCAGACCTCGCCCACCTCTGGCCCCTCAGACGCAGTCAACTGAGGCAGTCAAAACACGGAGACCCCCACACCGTTCGCTCTTCAGCCACGTACAGCCACTGTACCGCGTGGGTGCAGAGGGGTCAGTGCAGGGCGGGAGGGACTTTGCCACTATGTCCCCCAGGAGACCTTCTTTTGCCGGGATCAGAGGAGGAACTTCCCCTTAGAAACCAGGCGGAAGGTTCCCGGAAGACATCAGCCCAGGCGGCTTGGTGGAGGGGGAGGGCAAGGAAAGGGCGGTGACAGAATGCCAACGTCGCGCGGGGCGGCGGAGGAGGGGCGTCCGGACCCCGGAGCAGGGCCTGGAGGAGGTGGGCCCCGAGGGAAGGGGACAGGCAGCGCGGGACACGAGGCCCGAGGCTGCGATGTGGTGCGGGACCCCGCGCACGGCTGGAGCCACGCGGCTCTGGGCGCGCCAGGTGGAGCAGGCGGCCGCGGGGTGGGCGGGGGCAGGCGCTCTGGCAGCGGGGGCGGGGCCAGGGGCCCGGAGGCGGCTCTGGGCGGGGCCAAGGCGGCGGGGGCGGGGCCGGGCGGGGCGGGGGCGCGCGCGGCGGTGGCGGCGCGCAGTGCGCTCGCCTCTGAGGGCTCGGCGGGCGGCGGGGACGGCGACGGCGACGCGCACAAAGGCGGATTGTGGCTTCACTGGTGCTCGCGGCGGGCGGCGTCGGGGCGGGGGCGGCGGGGCGCGCCGGGGGCCCCCGCGGGCGCGGCGCGGGCGATGAGCCGGGGCCCGGCATGGCCTCCGCGCGGCCGCCGGGCCGGGCCTGTGCCTCGGCGCCGCCCGCGGGGCTCCGGGCCGGGCCGCCCGCCCTCCCCGCCGCCGCCGCGTCCCCGGAGCCTGCGGGCGGCGCCGAGGCCGAGGAGCGCTCGCTGCAGCACATGCTGCGCGCCATAGCGGAGGAGCGCGGCCGCCTGAGCCTGCGCCGCGAGGTCTGCGGCCTCGGTGAGTGGGCGGCGGGGCCGGCGGGGGCCGGCGGGCGAGGCCGGGGGCCGGCGGGGTCTCGAGCGTCGCCCGGTGCGCCTCCGCGCGGCTCTGCGGGCCGCGTTCCTGCTGTCCGCCTCCTTGCTGTCCACCTCCGTGTGTCTGCACCTGGGTCCCTGCTTGTCCGCCCCGTGTGTCCTTTTCTGCGTGTCCATCTCCGTGTCAGTGTGCCTCTGCAAGTCCATCTCCGTGTCTCTGCGTGTTCATCTCGGTGTTTCTGGGTGTCCCAATCTGCTCTCCTTCCCTGCATCTGGGTCTTTCCTGTGTCCCTGTGTCTCCAGCTCGGTTTTTGGTACCTTGAGTGCTCTGCACTTTTGTGTCCCCCTTCTTTTTCTGCTTCCCAGGTCATTTGATGTCTCCCTCTGTCCATTCGTATGTCTGTCCCATCTCTATTCTTCCTCTTGGTGGTTCTGCAAGTGGCCTTCCTTCTCCAGGAAGCCGTCCTGGGGGCTTCAGTGCTGCTGCAGGGAGTGAGATTTGGGGAGACCCTTAGCCGGACGTCCTCAGCTCACATGGAGGGCCATGTCTCTGGCTTGCTGAGTCTTTGTCTGTACCTGCCTGGCCCTCTCCTCCAGCCACTCTGCCAGGGACCTGTTGGCCTCTGCTCCCTGAACCCACTGGCTTGGCTCGCAGGTGGGGGATTGCTGCCTCTCTAGGTGGATCTGTTCTAAGAACCCTAGTCATGCATCTGCCAGGTGGTGTGGGTGGGGATGCCTCTTATTGTTTGAAAAAGGGCCTGGGACTGCAGGTGTGGGTGGGGTTTGCTGGCCTGGCTGGGTGTGAGGTAATCCATACTGATGGATTGCGCCCCCCACCCCCAAGCCGGAAGGAGCCCCCTCCCCTGTAGTCTTGGTTTGTCATTTTCTCCATGAAAAGACCCCTCCCTCTCCAGGCAAGGAATGACTTCATTCCACATTGTCAGCAGCCCCTCACCCCACCCCTGCCTGGGCTGGGGATTTCTGAGGGGACAGTAGCCTTTCGCATTGTACCAGTGCCCTATTGGTTCACCTTTCTCAGACCCCAGGAGGGGATGCCTCCCCACTGAGGTCAGCAGCAGCAGGGGCCTCAGCAGGCCACGCCCTGGAGGCTGCGAGGAATCCTGTGAAGGCTTTTTGTGGGAGGCAGGCTTAGCACCAGGCTTAGCTTCTCAGGGAGCAGGTCCCAGCCCAGACTGTCAAGTGTGAGTGCTCTTCTCGATAGGGACCGGTGTAGTGGGGGTGGCTTCTGAAGTGGGGACGGACAAGAACAGGTTTCAATGGTTTTGTCTCAGAAAAGGTGTCCAGATATGGGAAGATCCTTATTAATTCATTCAGCAAACATTCCCTGAGCACCTACTGTGTGGTCAGCCTGGCAGACCCACCTGTCACCTGGCACAGAATGTCTGAACTAGGAGGGGTCTGAAGACCATCTGCTGTAGGCCCTCAGCCCTGCAGGCTCAGCCACTCCAAGCAGCCCCTCCCCACTTAAAGCACTGCCCACCGTCGCCTTGACTGTGAGCATCTCTCCCCTCTTAGATGTTCCCTGCCCCCAAGGAGCCTGCAGTACTATCCCTCAAGAACAGCAGTGATGGCACCCAGCATTTACGAGGCTGTTGGTATGTGCAGGTGCTTTGTGCGTGTTCCGACAGTTTCATCCTGATACACTACTCAATGCCTTTGCCAAGTGGAAATACAAGCTCCGTGTCACCCATGAGTAGCCTTCCCAAGGACAGCAGTGAGGAAGTGGCACAGCTGACTGACCCCTGGCTAGTCTAATCCCACAGCCTCCTCCCACCCCACGTCCCCAGCCAGGCCTGCTGTGCTTACAGCTCTCACCTTTACCTCGCGGTCTCCCCTCCCTGCACCCACTCCAGCTCCCTCACGTGGGCACTCCCGTTACCAGCTCCTGAGCTCAGTCCCTGGCGCTCTCACCCCTGGGCTTTTTTGTGTGCTGTTGGCACAGACAGCTGTCCCTGCTCGTTTGCCTCCCGAGCGGCCCCCGTCTTCCTTTAGGTCTCAGCTCCAAGCTGCTGCTGGGACCTTCCTGGACCCCGCAGACACTCCTGCTCTGCTGCTGCTCATTCTCTGTGCTGGACGGTCAGGAAGCCGAGGTGTCGTGTGTGTCATAACAACTGTGGCATTGTAAGGGACTGTGGGACTGCCCCCGGAGAAGAGCAAGTGAGCTCCTTGAGGGCAGTGTGAGTCTTATCAGTGCTTAACATGAGGCATGGACAGAGCGAGTGCCTGATAAACACCTAGAGAACAAACTCGAGGACTTTTGAACTGGCAAAGGAAGGGTGTGGATGACCAGGAGGTAGAGTCGGGACTCTGGGAGGGTCCACCTCTTTTAAGTTTCATCTGAGAAATTTGATGTTCCTAGAGAAGAGAGCTTACCAGGGACATATGCCCAAAGCAGAGCAGGGCCTGATGTTGGTCCCGTCACCTGGAACATGGGAACCCACAACACCTGAGCGCTGCACGTGCACCCTGGTGCTCCTTCAGCCTCTCACCTGTGGGTTCAGGATTATGGTTTTGTTCTTATGATTTTAAAATTCTGTTTCTGTTCTTTTCCTTTGGACTGCATTTCCTTATCCTCTCTTTACAGCTGTGACAACCTGTTAGATTTATGAATGGATGTACTCATTCTTTGTGGTACTGGGATTGAACGCAGGGCTTCACCCATGCAAAGCACATGCTCTGCGGCTGAGGTGTACCTCTGGCCTGCTCGAATGAATTTAAATCTCCCAGATTAAAAAAAAAACAAAACAGTTTGAGTTGTACATGGACCCAGTGCCTTTATTTACTTATTTTTGTGTGGTGCTGAGGATTGAACCTAGTGCCTTACATGTGCCAGGCAGATGCTCTGCCACTGAGCCGCAACCCTGGCCCAAATCGCCCAGATTTTGGTGGTGGGGTTTAATGAAAGCTTTGGTCACTCAGAGCTGGTTGTGGCCTCTGAGGCTGTTTGAAGGTGTCCAGGAAGTCTCTGGTGGAGCTGCTGTCATCTCTGAGTCAGTGTCTGTGAGATGGAACAAAGCTACAGGTCCCCACGCCAGGTCACTGCTGGCTCTTAGGATGAAAGGCACTGTGTAGCTACTGGCTGACGTGACTCTCATTATGGTGGCCTCTGGTAGAAGTCTTTCTTGAGCACTTGCTTTGTGCCAGGTGGGGCTGACCCCGGTCCCTGCTTGGTGAGAGGGCACAGTCTCTGGGGAGAGAAACCAGGTGTACAGGTGGCTGCTACTGAAGTAAAAACCCTGCTGGAAGCAGCAAGGGCCATGGCCACGCCCAGCAGGATTTTGATGTTGCTTCCACAGCAAACTTTTAGTTCTGGGTGAAAAATGAGCCCCGCTGGTGGCCGAGGTGCTTCTGTAGGGCTTCAGGGTCTCTGAGTGGGACTGATCCTGTGGTTCAGTGCTCAGGTGTGCAGTGCAGACATCTGAACCAAAGGTGGACAGATCCTGCCTCTTCTCCCAGGACGTGGGCCTCCTCCTGGGCTCTGAACAGCAGCCCAAGCACACCAGGCAGTGTGCGCTCTGGACCTGGCTGGGTGTGAGTCCTGAGAGGCTGGGACTGTTGGAGCCATCCATGCCTGGCGTTTGGGGCTCACCTCTGTCAGGTGGCATAGGGTCCTCACCTCTTCTAGAGTGCTGCAGGTCTAAGGAGTGGGGTATTTTGGTTTGTTGCTTGTTTGTTTTTAATATTGGGGATTGAACCCAGCATGCTTTACCACTGAGCTATATTTCCAGTCTTTTTATTTTTTTTGGAGAGGATCTTGCTAACTTGCTGAAGGCCTTACTAAGTTGCCTAGACTGTCCTTATATTTGGAATCCTCCTGTCTCAGCTGCTGACTCTGTCTCAGTCGCTGGGATTACTTGTGTGCACCACTGCTCCCAGCAAAGGAGTGTTTTGTGTTTATTCTTTTTTTTTGGTACTGGGGATTGAACTCAGGGGCACTTAACCACTGAGCCACATCCCCAGCTCTTTGTATTTTTTTACTTAGAGATGGGGATTCAGTCATCCTGTCTTTGCCCCCCCCCCCCCCGCCAGTTGCTGGGATTATAGCATGCACCACCAAGCCTAGCCAGAAAATCCACCTTTTGTTTTTTTCTGGTGGGGGGGTTACTGGGGATTGAATGCAGGGGCTCTCAACCACTGAACCACATCCCCAGCCCTATTTTGTATTTTATTTAGAGACAGGGCCTCACTGAGTTGCTTAGCAGCTTGATGTTGCTGAGGCTGGCTTTGAACTTGTGATCCTCCTGTCTCAGCCTTCCGAGCTGCTGGGATTACAGGGGTGGGCCACTGCGCCCGGCTGAGTTCATTCTTTTTTTTTTTTTTTTTTAATTTTTTCATAGTTGTAGATGGACAGATTGCCTTTATTTTATTTGTATATGGTGCTGAGGATTGAATTTAGTGCCTCACACAGGCCAGGCAAGCGCTCTGCCATTGAGCTACAGCCCCAGCCCCTGGCTGTGTTCATTCTTTTTTTTTATATATATATATATATAAAATTTTTTTTTAGGTGGACACAATATCTTTATTTCATTTTCATGTGGTGCTGAAGATGGAACCCAGTGCCTCATGCATGCCAGGCGAGCACCTTACCACTTGAGCCACATCCCCAGCCCCTGTGTTCATTCTTTATACTTGGGATTAGTTTCTGAGGCAGGTCTCATTATACTCTTTGTCCCGACAGAACATAGCTTGGGAGGGGCTGTACTGTGCCCCCAGCCACAAGGGTAGAAAGTGCTGGGCGCTGCACAGAGCTGCAGGCTGCCCTTTCCTGTCCTCTGAGTGCCAGCTGCCCGGCCACTGATGGGATCATGGAAGGGCCAGTAGAGCGTGAGCTCCCAGCCAGCTGGAGGGTCCCTGAACAGGGGCTGTGGCCCCAGGAGGCAGAACCTTGGAGCAGGGCTGAGGCTGGGTGAGACCTGCCTGATATAGGAGCAGAGGCTCCGGTGGCTTAGGTGGCTGGAGGGG